TTTTATCTGTTCACCTGTTGAAAGAAATCTGAATTGTTTTAGTTTGGGGCTGCTGTGAATAATGCTGCCATGAACATTTGCTGTAAGTCTGTGTGTGGATGCATGTTTTCATTTCCCTTGGTAAATACCTAGGATGGAATTCCTAGGTTTTATCGTAAGTATATGTTAATTTTTGAAGCAAGTGCCAAACTGTTTTCCAAAGTAATGAATTTTACATTCCCAACTGCAGCATATAAGTGTTCCAGTTTCTCCACATCTTTGTCAATACTTGATTTGGTCAGATTTGTCAGTCTGATTTTAGCCATTCAACTGAGTATGCAGTGATATTTCATTGTGGTTTAACGTGCATTTCCCTAATGGCTAATGATGTTGAGCATCCTTTCAGGTACTTATTTGCTATTCAAATATCTTCTTTGTTAAAGGGTCTATTAAAGTCTTTTCTCCTTTTTAAAAATTGAAGTTTTGCTTCCTTATTATTGAGTTGTAAATGTTCCTTATATATTCTGAATTCAAGTCCTTTAGCAGATACACATTTTGCAAATATTTTCTTTCAGTATGTGGCTTGCCTTTTCATTTTAAGGGTGTCTTTTTAAGCAAGAAAGTTTATAACTGGGATGAAGTCCAATTAGTCATTTTTCCTTATGTTTCATACTTTTTTGTGTCATATCTAATAGTTCTGTGTCTAGCCGAAGATCACAAAGATTTTCTCCTATTTTTTTCCTAGAACCTCTCACAGTCACGTTTATAATCCATTTTGAATTTTTGTTAATATTATGAAGTAAGGGTTGAGAGGTTCTTTTTTGTTTGTTTGCCTATGGATATCCAAAGTGTTCTAGTTCAATTTGTTGAAAATACTATCCTTTCACCCATTGAATTATCTTTGTTGACACCTTTGTCAAAAATCCATTGAGCATATATGTGAATGTCTCCTTTTGAACTCTCTTCTCCTCCATTGATTATTTCTGTCACTTAGCCAGCACCACACAGTCTTGATTATTGTAACGTTATTATAATTCTTGAAATTAGTTAGTGTAAGTCTTCCAACTTTGTACCTCTTTTTCAAAATTGTTTTGTCTATTCTAGCTTGTTTGCATTTCTGTATAAATTTTAGAGTCAGATTTTCAAATTCTACAAAAAAAGCATGTCGATTTTGATTGAGATTGTGTTGAATCTATAGATATATAATGATTATTACAGTAGCCACTAGCCACATGTGACTATCTAAATACAAATTTAAATTAATTAGATTGATTAAAATTAAAATTTTAGTTCCTTAGTTGCACTAGCCTTATTTCAAGTGCCGTTATACACATGTAGCTAGCAGCTACCATACTGGACAGTGTTGATACAGAATATTTCAGTAATCTCAGAAAGTTCTAGTAGACATTGCAGCTATTGGAAACATTGGATTTAATTACTGTATTAACAATTTTGAGTCTTCCAGTCAATGGACACGGCCTGTCTCTCCTTTTATTTAGGTCTTTTAAAATTTCTCCTATTATGTTTTTATAGTTTTCAGTATACAGATATAACAAAACATCTTTTTAAAAATGTTTTCCTAAGTATTTTATTCCTTTTGATGCTACTGTGAATAGAAATTTCTTTTTTCTTTTGAGGAAGACTAGCCCTGAGCTAACATCTGCTACCAATCCTCTTCTTTTCTCTTTTGCTGAGGAAGACAGGCCCTGAGGTAACATCCATGCCCATCTTCGTCTACACTCTACGTGGGACGCCTGCCACAGCATGGCTTGACAAGCAGTGCTAGGTCCACATCCGGGATCTGAACCAGCAAACCCTGGGCTGCCAAAGCAGAATGTGTGAACTTAACCGATGTGCCACTAGGCCAGCCCCTAGAATGTTTTTTTTTAAATTCATCTTTTGATAGTTCATTGCTAGTATATAAAAATACAATTGATGTTTGTCTGTTGATCTTATACCCTGTGACATTGCTAAACTTGCTTTCTTAATTCTCTAGCTTTTTCCTACATTTCTTAGGATTTTCTACATGTAAGATCCTCTTGTCTGTGAATAAAGACGGATTTGCTTCTTTTCCAATCTGTGTGACTTTTACTCTCTTTTTCTTGGTTTATGCTCTTGCTAGGATCTTCAGTGCAGTGTTGAATAGAGGTGGTAAGAGCAGACTTCCTTGCCTCTTTCCTGTCTTAGGAGGAAAGCATTTAGTGATTCTATTCAGCGAGAGGTTAGCTGTAGGTTTTTCATAGGTGCCTTTTATCAAGTCAAAGGACTTTCCCTTCTATTCCTAGTTTGCTGAAAGTTTTTATCACAAGGATTTTGTCATATGCTTTTTCTACATCTATTGAGACGATCATATGACTTTTCTCCTGTATTTTATCAATATAGTATATTACATTAATTGATTTTCAAAAGTCAATCCAAACTTACATTTCTTGGATAAACCCCATTTGGTCATTATCCTATTTATAAATTGCCAATATTTTGATAAGGATTTTGAGACTACATTCATTAGGAATATTGGTTTGTCATTTTCTTTTTTTACGTTATCTTTGTCTGGCTTTTCTCAGAGTAAAACTGAATTAGAAAGTTTTTCTTCCTCATCTATATTCTGAAAGTCTTTATTATAGGATTGATATTTTCCCTGTCTTAAATGATTGACAGAACTGATAAGCCATTTTTGAGCCTGGCCTTTTCTTTGTAGGGAGATTTAAATTACTGATCAATTTCTTTGCTTAATATAAGTCTATGTCGATTTTCTATTTCATCTTCAGTCACTTTTGGTAATTTGTCTATTTCAACAAAGTTGTCAAATTTGATGGCTTAAAGTTGTTCATAATACTCCCTTATACTCCTTTTCATTTCCTTAGGTTCTATAGTGATATCTCCTCTTTCATTCCTGATTTTTGTAATTTGTGTTTTCTCTAACTTTGTATTTGTCTGGTTAATGTTCTATCAATTTTGTTGGTCTTTCCAAAGAACCAACTATTAGTTTCCTTGATTTTCTCTATTGATATTTGTTTCCTATTTCATTTATTTCGGCTCTGGCCTTTATTATTTCTTCCTTAAAACTTATTTTGTGTTTGATTTGCTCTCCCTTTCCTAACTTCTTTAGAAACTTTAGTTATTGATTTTAAACAGTTAATCCTTTAAAATTAGCACTTACAGCAATAAATTTTCTTCTAAGCACTGCTTTAGCTACATTCCGTATATTTTGATATCTTTTTATTTTTATTCAGTTCAAGAGATTTTCTAATCTCCTCTGTGACTTCTTTTTTGATCCATGAGGTATCTAGAACTGCAGTGTTTACTTTGCATATATTTGGATATTTCCCATATTTATTCATGTTATAAATTTCTAATTTAATTGCGTTGTGGTCAGAGAACATACCTTGTATGATGTTATTCCTTTTATATTTATTGAGACTTGCTTTATGGCCTAGCTGTATAGCCTGGTGAATATTCCATGTGCAGTTGAAAAGAATGTGTTCTTTGCTGTTTTGAGGTAAAGTGTTTTCTATGTGTCAGGTCAAGGTGTGGTTAATAGTGTTGTTCAGGTCTTCTGTATCCTTACTGACTTTCTACCTACTTGCATTATGAATTATTCAGAGAGGACTATTAAATCTCTATGCATAATTGTTGGACTGTTTATTCATATTTCAATTCTGTCAGTTTTTACTTAATGAATTTTTATCCTCTGTTTTAGGTACATATATATTTATAATTTTTTTTAATGTATTGACCTAATGTGTATCCTCATAAAATGTACCTCTTTCCTCTAGTAATATTCCTTATTTTGTCTGATATTAATCCAGCCACTCGAGTTCTCTTATCATGAATATTTATATGGTATAAATTTTTCAAACTATTTTTGTCTTTGACCTTATAGTTTCTCTCTTACAGACTGCACATAAATCTTGCTTTTTTAGCTAGTCTGACAATCTCTGCCTTTGATTAGAGTATTTATCTTATTCATATTTAATGTAATTATTGATACAGTTTTATTGAGGTCTGCCATTTTGTCCTTCGTTTTCTGTGTGTCATTTTCTGTTTTCCCTCTGTTCCTCCTTTATTGTCTTTTATGTCTAACAAATCCTGATTATGATGCCACTTTAATCCCTCTATTAAGTTTTTAACTATATTTCTTTGTTTTTTTCTGTATATGTATGTTTACACTAGAGATAACAATATGAAACTTTTAACTTATGATGATTTACTTATGTTAGTACTGATTTAAATCCAATAAAACATCAATTTTGCACACCTGTAGCTCAGTTTCCTCCCACTTTCAAATAACTGGGAGGAATATGAGATTTTACTCTACTTGTAAGGTAGCAAGTTAGCCTGCCACAGTTGAATGGATTCTGAGAGAAGACATGAGGTTCCTGGGTCAGAGATGAAGGACAATTTATAACTCACAGCAATAGCGGTAGCCAGAGGGTCATCATTTGTACCAATTGCTCAAGCCTTAATTCCCACAGGGTGACAAAACAAGGTGCGAAAAATGGAATACTGTTCACTAGGGCAGTGTTCATAAATTGCGTCACCAGGACACTGGTACTATGGGTGCTTAAAAATAAAAGTTTCGTAGTCAAATAAGTTTGAAAAACTGTACCTCCATATCTCCCTCATGTATATTTACAATGTATATTAGCATATTAAAAGCTTTAAGAAGCCTCACAGAAAAGAAAGCTGCTTAATTTTCTTTGAAGGAAGAGTTTTCAAAATTATTTGACCACAGAATCTTCTTTTCTTTTACGTATCATGACAACCTGCAGAAATAGCGTTCTACATTACTCACTTTGGCAAATACTGCTATAGCAAACAATAGAAATAAAATATATAGGCAACTTATTTTTAAATCATCATTAAGAAGTATGATATTTTTGAAATAAAGTAAAAGAAGTGTCATCCTTCCCAACCTCTTCGAAACCTATTAATGTTCTTTTCTTCTATTCTTGAAGTATTTAGTTGATTGTGTATACTTACACAACACGTTTATTTGTAAACTCTGTTTTCATTTTTAGGGGATGTGATCAATCTTGGTGACAGACAGCTCACTGTTATGCACATGCCTGGTCACTCCAGGGGCAGTATTTGCTTACATGACAAAGACCGAAAGATTCTCTTCAGTGGAGACGTCGTGTATGATGGATCACTGATTGACTGGCTCCCGTACAGCAGGATAAGTGACTATGTTGGAACCTGTGAACGTCTGATAGAATTAGTCGACAGAGGTCTGGTAGAGAAGGTGCTTCCTGGGCACTTCAATACCTTTGGCGCTGAAAGGCTTTTTCGATTGGCTTCTAACTATATTTCAAAAGCCGGGATATGTCACAAAGTTTCTACTTTTGCGATGAGATCTCTTGCAAGTTTAGCCTTACGTGTAACAAATTCTAGGACCTCACCTTAGTATCTATACTATTAATCTATTTTGATTAATTCTCTAAGTTAATCCAATTCATTTTGTGCTGTTTAAAATGATGAATAGTGAGCATTTCAAGAAGTGCTTTTATACTACTATTGTATATTAGAGGAAAAAAGGTTGAGAATGAATAAGCCAAAAAAGATGTGCTTAGTTTAACTTTTTTTTCTTTCTTCCAAATAAGAAACCACTTAAATAAGTTTATATCGTACCAAAGCTGTCATCTGGTAATATTTTCTCTAGAAATGATATAGAAGTATATGTGGAAGCAAGGATGCATTTTACAGTAAGAAAAAGAACTATCTTTGCATCCCATTTGTCTTATTTTATTTCATAGATGACTAGAAAAGAAAGCATAAAGAGTTTTCTGTTTATACTCCAAACTTGATATTTTTAGTATATTATTTAAAGATAAAAGTTCTTGGGTTTAAAATACATTAGAACTCAATGGAAACATGTAAGCTAACATTTAGAATGACAGCTAAAACAATTCATTGTTATGGTACAGAATTTTTATGCTTCATTTTATTTATTCCTAATGTAATTATAGTGTACATTATATGTTGTGAAATTTTACTTACAAAAGGTACAATGAATTTTGTTTTATTGCCAAGCTTTAAATATAAATTGCAGAGTGGTTCAGTCAAAAGCTACTGTATATTGTTGTTTGTTATTATGTATGTGTAATATTTCAATCATAAAAGTGAAATTCACATGTCTGTAATCTAACTACAAATTGTCAGATTTCTCAAAAGGACACTGTCAGGCAAATTTGAAAATATACACATTGAGAATAATTTTTTATTATATCCTATTTTAATATTAACAGTTATTATAAACAAAATTTTTGTTAAATAGTAGCTTCAGTATATGTATCATATTTTATAGTATCCAAACTATAGAAGTCTACAACATCCTGACATAAACCATTCTTTTACTTAGCATAGATATACCACAGAAGGCTTTTCAAATTAATTGCAAAATGTGCATTAGATATTGACTTAGAGTGAACTGCCTTTTTTATCCTGATTCACAACACCTATTCCTGTTTGGTGTTCTTTGTCTTGAATGAAAAGAAGTCTACATTAATAAAGTTATAGGAAAAGTTATCCCACTGTTTAGTAAAATGTTTTGGTTTGGTGCTCTTAATAATTTATTAAAAAGCCTTTTGGAATATTTCATAAAGGTTTTTTAAGCAGTTTTTTCACTGCCTTTTTATTATTGACATGTCTAAAACCAAACTGAGATGGCTTTAGGAATCAGATTTTTAGTATTAGGAATGTGTAACAATTTTGATTTCTGAAAAATCATGAAACTTTTCCTACGCTACACTCACCAGGTTCTTTAGTCTTTTATTCATTCAACACACAACACACACAAACACATACACATACATACACCATACATACACACAGTCATATACATGCACAGTATTGTGCTAAACACTGTGGAAGCTTAAAAAGTCAAAGAGATTACATCCTAGCTGGAAGTAGAAGGCAAACAAGACATGAATAATAATATATGCAGGTTGAAGTGAATACAAATTACACACGAGTGTCAGGGACATAAATGGAGGAGTGTGAAGTTTGGTTAGGGAAAGATTCCTGGGGGAGGGGTTCTTGAGTCATATTTGGAAGGATGATTTGTTAGGTGGTCAGGGTACGAGACAAAAAGACCCAAGAATGGGGTCGGAGGCATTACTGACTAGAGTAGGCTATTCCTTGTGACAATTTAAATTTAATTTTCAGGAATCTTAGATTTTCCAAACACCACGTATTTAGCATGAGAAAGATGAGTTTGTGACTGTGTATACAAGAATCATCCTTAATGACAAACAAGTTGTACTGCCATATGCCACCAAATGAACCTTTACTTATAATCAGTAAGGAGGCTGTGATTGTTCAGATGTAGAATATCACAGGAGTGTCTTTGTGATAGTATTCAAGGCCGTAGGTCTGTTTCAATTGGTAGTGCAACATCAAGAGTATAGATTTGGTTCAGGGCAACTACAAACAATCACTGAATAAGCCTTAAATATAGCCATTATTTTTATATCAGCAGCACAAGAGAAAACCAAAAGTCCTTAACCATTGACCATTTTATCATACTTTAGGACTTTTTTTTTTTAAATCAGGGTATAGTAGGCACTAAGTTTTATTGAGAAATATTTAAACCTGATGAAGGCTTTCCTTATTTCTTAAAAGTGTGATTTTTCAAAACACATTGATTTTAGTTTTAAATTTCCCCAATTTTTTTTTGTTTTTTTAGTTTTTCAAATTGTACCAAAACATAAGACTGTGATATTTTGCTCTTTCTTCAATGTGAATAAATTGGAGAAAGGATCTGTCATTCGTTTGGTGCCCTTGCTATGCATTTTTAAATGTGCATTATTTAATTTAATCCTGGCCCCAGTGCCAGGAAGTAATTGACCAGCCTCACACAACACAGGTTTGGACAAAGCTGGTAATTGAACACAGGTCTGTCTGCCTCCCAAACTGTGCTTTCTCTTATACCTGCACAATAACATAAAATTGGCAAAGTGTATTTTTACTTTTCAAGATGCCACGTGTGCCAAGAATAAATCAAGTGATGTTAAAGCATAATAATAGCATATTTTAAAAAAAGCTTTAAAAATATATATTTTCACCCTGACAGTGACCCTTGTTGTAATTTGTGGATTTTGGAAATAATAGTACATAAGTATAATTCAAAGTTGTCAAAATGTAAGACATTTAGAAATAATTTTTATTTATATAGTTAATAACTTAATCTTTGGAAATTCATTTTCCTTATTTTGTGTTTCCTTTTAACTGAGAAGTCTAAAACAAACAAAAACCTTGTGTGTTATCCTGATATGGTTGAATAAATGATTATGCGTAGTTGTTCTTATATGGATAGTAATATGAATGTGACATGCACAAATTGTCGTCTTATGATTTTCAGATAAGTGTTAGTAAACTTTTGTGTGATCAGTATTAAAGTAGACATTTTATTTCAATCTATATTTGGTATTTTTTATAATGTTGGCAAAATCCCACTTCATTTCTTTCAAGGATATTTCCTATATGAAGTGCAATTTTGAAAAGCTTATAATAAATAAGACATCAAATCTGTGGGCAAGAATAGAGAATCCAGAAACCAAAAAATACCCATAGAAGCCTTTAGTAGTTAATAAATATGGCATTTCAAGTCAATGGATAAAAGATGGACTATACAATATATATTCCAATTGTTGATGTGGGATAAAAGGCCCCTGCCATCATAAAATAAATTCCAAATGGATTAAAGACCTAAATGTGAAAAATGGAACCACATGTGTGTTAAAAGAAAATGTAAATCATGTTTAAGACATTAGGATAGGGAAGATCTTTATATAGAAACAAAAAGCAAAATTACAGTCACGCATCACTTAATGACAGGCACATGTTCTGAGGAAGGCTTCATTAGGCAATTTTGTCACTGTGTGAACATCATAGAGTGTACTTACACAAACCTAGATGGTATAGCCTACTACCTACCTAGTCTATATGTAACTAATTTTATGGGACCACCATCATATATGCAGTCTGTCATTGACTGAAACATCATTATGTGGTGCATGACTGCACACTAAAATTTAAAATGTCTTAGAATTCAGAAGCCATAAAGAAAGTTAAAAAGAGAGAGAAATCAGAAGAAAACATTCACACCTTGTGTAACAGAAAAATTTTTGAAACAAATATAGAAAATGCCTACAAATCAATAAGAAAAAGGGAAATTATTATAGGGGAGGAAAGACCTTTTCCTATACCCTCTGAAGTTCAGTGGCTGGGGCTGAGAATTAAATTTACAAAAGACAGATTGACAGGAGCAAAGCATACAAATTTTATTTGACATTAATATTTTTATGTATACATGGAAGCCTTCATATATAAGAAATGAAAACCCAAAGAAGTAGTTAAGCTTGAGTGCTTATATACCATTTTAACAAAGAATGAGGTGCCAGCCTGGTGGTGCAGTAGTTAAGTTCGCATGTTCCACTTTGGCGGCCCAGGGTCCACAGGTTCGGATCCTGGGTGCAGACATGGCACCGCTTGGCAAGCCATGCTGTGGTAGGCGTCCCACATATAAAGTAGAGGAAGATGAGCATGGATGTTAGCTCAGGGCCAGTCTTCCTCAGCAAAAAGAGGAGGATTGGCAGCAGATGTGAGCTCAGGGCTAATCCTCCTCAAAAAACAAAACAAAAAACCCCAAAGAATGATAAATTGTGGAGACTGACTAGACAGGAAAAAGGAGTTTGGGTTAGGGTTGGTAAATTAGGAGAAAGTGACTAGGAAATATATGGGGGAAACTAATGAAAGACAAGGGTTATTTTAGTAGGTTTGTTTATACCTACTATTAATCTTGGTGTTGACTCCCCATCTCCAGTAATAAGAATATTCTCCTCTTCCTGGTACAGGGAGGGCACCTTTCTCATGGGAAATTTTATGCCCTACTTTAGATAGAAAGGGGGAGGTCACAGAGTCCTTCCTATATTTGCTTTTTCTCAATTATCTTCCACTCAATCAACAGGCCAAAGTGGCATATTTTGGGGTGGCATGTTCTGATGCCCTTCACTACATATTAGAAAAATGAGTACATTACATGAACAGGTTATTCATAGAAGAGGAAACACAATGGGCCAATAAGCAGATAAGACTGTTGGGGGCCAGCCCGGTGGCACAGTGGTTAAGTTCACATATTCTGCTTCCGTGGCCCAGCATTTGCTGGTTCGGATTCCAGGTGCGGACCCGTGCACTGCTTATCAAGCCATGCTGTGGCAGGCATCCCACATATAACATAGAGGAAGATGGGCACAAATGTTAGCTCAGGCCCAATCTTCCTCAGCAAAAAGAAGAGGATTGGCAGCAGATGTTAGCACAGGGCTAATCTTCCTCAAAAGAAAAAAAAAAAGTGCTGAAACTCATCAGTAATCAGGGAAATGCAAGTTTAAATAATGAGACAGTTTAACCAGATTGGGAAATTTTGAGAATATGGAGTGTTGGCAAGGGTAAGTGGATATCTCCATGCTGTGCTGCTAGGAGTGTAAAATGCTCCGGCCATTTTGGGGTGCAACTTTGGAGTGTGATTTAGCACATTCTGATTTGGGGTTAAGAGTGGCAGGTTGAAAATATTGGAGAGGTTGTGGAGAAAAAGGAACCCTCATACACTGTTGGTGGGAATGCAAACTGGTGCAGCCACTATAGAAAACAGTATGGAGATTCCTCAAAAAATTAAAAATAGAAATACCATATGACCCAGCTATCCCACTGCTGGGTATCTATCCAAAGAACTTGAAATCAGCAATCCAAAGAGACCCATGCACTCCTATGTTCATTGCAGCATTATTCACAATAGCCGAGATGTGGAAGCAACCTAAGTGCCCATCAACTGATGATTGGATAAAGAAGATGTGGTATATATATACAATGGAATACTACTCAGTCATAAAAAAGGATAAAAATTGTCCCATCCACAACAACATGGATGGACCTTGAGGGTATTATGTTAAGGGAAATAAGACAAAGAAAGACAATCTCTGTATGACTCCACTCATATGCAGAAGATAAACAAACATGTGGACAAAGAGAACAGATTAGTAGTTACCAGGGTAAAGGGGAGTGGAGGGTGGGCACAAAGGGTGAAGTGGTGCACCTATAATATGACTGACAAATAATAATGTACAACTGAAATTTTACAAGGTTGTAAACTATCATAACCTCGATAAAAAATAAAACAGAAAAAAAAAGTGGCAGGTTCAGCACACACCTTAACCTCTGCTCCTTTTTTTTTTTTTTGAGGAAGATTAGCCCTGAGCTAACTGCTGCCAATCCTCCTCTTTTTGCTGAGGAAGACTGGCCCTGAGCTAACATCGATGCTCATCTTCCTCTACTTTACATGTGGGACGCCTACCACAGCATGGTCTTGGCAAGTGGTGCCATGGCCGCACCTGGGATCCAAACCAGCGAACCCGGGGCCACCGAGAAGCGGAACGTACAAACTTAACTGCTGTGCCACCAGGCGGGCCCCCTCTGCTCCTTTCAGAAACTCAGTATAAGGACAGGAAAGGCATTTTTTTCAAATGGCTTAAACTCACAAGAACAGCAAGGATGGTAAAGAAGATAACAGCATCAATATTTTGGACACTGAAAAGCTGATAGATGAATGAAAACTGATTTGGTAAACCCAAGAAAGCTGAAACAGGAATGATGAAAGCCAAGAAGCAATCTTATTATGACACAAACCCCCCTACAAGGCTTAGAAACTGGCAGTGTCAGGTACCTCTAGGAGTTGGCGTGAAAGTCTTTCTGATTCACATTCTGTTTGCCACTTAGACCACCCAAGCCCTCCCTACCTCTACACGGCTAAGCAATTTTGTCTACCTCAGGGAAGATTGGAGGTTACCTGAGATTTAACGTGAAGTTAAGTCATCTTTAGCTCGGGGCCTAGCACTTGCATGGGCCGCTTCCAAGGCCCTGGGAAGGGCCCAAGAAATGTGTTCAAATAGTCATTTTGTTTGTTCTAATTTGCAAAACTAAGTTATTTTTTTTCTTTCTCTCAAAGTTCCCAAATTGCGTAAGTTTCAGATGCTGCAAAACTGGGATCTGCTGCTGACTAGAGGATTGTCATGTGGGGAAGATAAACCAGGAAACTCTATTTGGAGGAAACCAGACCTTGTTAAGCTGAGGTCCTACACTGAAACGAGAGTGATTTAACACAGGTTTATGTACAGTGAAAGTTTGTATACTAAAAGTTCACACGCCCAGCCTCCTCCAACCTAGCTCGAAGAACGCTGGCAGCTAGGATTATACTCTCCAGGCAGGAGATTGGAAGATCCTTTTCTTAGAAATGTAACACCCAGGGCTAGCCCCATGGCTGAGTGGTTAAGTTCTCACACTCCACTTCAGCGGCCCAGGGTTTTGCTGGTTCGGATCCTGGGCGCGGACATGGCACCGCTCATCAGGCCATGCTGAGGTGGCGTCCCACATGTCACAACTAGGAGGATCCATAACTAAAATGAACAACTATGTACTGGGGGGATTTGGGGAGAAAAAGCAAACAAACAAACAAAAGATTGGCAACAGTTGTTAGCTCAGGTGCCAATTTTTAAAGGAAAAAAACCCAAGGAATTCTAACACCCGAAAGATCTAATAATGTTGAATCTGCGGTATCAAAAGAAAGGGCTCAGTGAAATCACTCTTCAATACAGCCCACAATTGCTGAGCCTCCCTTCCTCGCCACTCAGACATACAACGCTGAAGTCTTCTCTTAAGTCTAAATATATACACCAAAAGCCAGCATTTTATGGAAAAACAAGAAGAATAAATGTAAATAAATGGGAAAAACACTTAAAGCAATGAGAGAATTTAACAAAGTAAGAAGATATAAAATTAACCTTAAAAATCTATAGTCTTCACCAAAGAAGAAATATAGATGGCAAAGAAGCATATGGAAAGATACTCCACATCATGTCATCAGGGAAATGCAAATTGAAACAATGGGATACTACTACATACCTATTAGAAAGGCCAAAATCCAGGACATTGACAACACCAAATGCCGAAGATGTGGAGCCACAAGAACTCTCATTCGTTGCTGATGGGAATTCAAAATGGTAGAGCTATTTTGGAAGAAGTTGGCAGGTTCTTATAAAACTAAACATACTCTTACCATATGATCCAATTGTGCTTCTTGGCATTTACCCAAATGAATTAAACACTTACGTTCACACAAAAATCGTCACATGGATGTTTATAGGAGCTTTATTCACAATTGCCACATCTTGAAAGCAACCAAGATGTCCTTCATTTGGTGAATGGATAAACTGGGTACACCTAGACAGTGGAATATTATTCAGTGGCTAAAGAGAAATGAGCTATCAAGTCATGAAAAGATATGGAGGAAATATAAATGCATATTACTAAGTGGAAGAAGTCAATCTGAAAAGGCTACATACTGTATGCTCCTTAATTATATGGCAAAG